TTGATTCTTTCAATCCATGAACATGGTATATGTTTCTACTTTTTTATATCTTCTTCTATTTCTTTTTTCAATGTTCTATCGTTTTCTGAGAACAGGTCTTTTACCTCCTTGGTTAAGTATATTCCTAGGTGTCTTATTTTTTGTTGTCGTTGCAATGGTAAATAGGATTTTTTTTTTTTAGTTTCCCTTTCTGAGTGTTCATTATTGGAGTATAAGAATGCCATATATTTCCAAATGTTAATTTTGTATCCTGCTACTTTGACAAATTCATTTATTAAATCTAGTAGATTTTTGATGGAATCTTTAGGGTTTTCTATGTACAATATCATGTCGTCTACAGATAATGACAGTTTCACTTCCTCTTTTCCAATTAGATGCCTTTTATTTTTTATTCTTGTCTAATTGCTGTGGCTAAGACATCCAGTACTGTGTTAAATAAGAGAAGTGAAAGTGAGCATCCCTGTCTTGTTCCTTTTCTTAAGGGAAATGCTTTTAGTTTTTGCCCATTTAGTTTGATGTTGGCTGTAGGTTTTCCATATATGGCCCTGAGTATGTTGAGATATGATCCCTCTGTTCCCACTTTGCTGAGCATATTTATCAGAATGGGTGCTGGATAATAAATACATATCTTAATGAAATTCCAACCAGATTTCTAACAGGAACTTTATTTTGTTGGTGTTTCATCTCTCTCGTCACCCAAACTAAAGTGTTTCTCTCACATTGGCCACTCTGCATCTCCTTCTTTTACTTTGTTAGAACAGTCTTTCTTTTCCAGCTTTATTGAGATAAAATTGCCATATAACATTGTATAAGTTTAATGTGCACAACATAGTAATTTTATATATGTGTATATTACAAAATAATGAATCACGATAAATTTAGTTAACACATCCACTGCTTTATATAATTATTTTTATTTTTTGGTGTAGTGAGAACTTTTTTAAAAAAATCCTCACCTGAGGATATTTTTCCATTTATCTTTGATAGAGTGAGAGGGAGGGAGAGAGAGAAAGAGAAAAAAAGAGAGAGAGAGAGAGAGAGAAATCAACCGGTTGCCTCCCACATGACCCTTACCAGGGCCAGGGACCAAACTGCAACCAAGGTACGTGCCTTTGACTGGAATCAAATCCAAGACTCTGGTCTGTGATCAACACTCTAACCACTGAGCCAAACCAGCCAGAGCTGTGGTGAGAACTTTTAAAAAAATCTACTTTCTTAGCAACTTGGAAATATACCATGCAGTCTTTTTAACTATAGTCACCATGCTGTACATTACATCCCCAGGACTTATTTATCTTATAACTGGAAGTTTGTATCCTTTGACTACTTTCACCTGCCTCACCCCCCAGGTAACCACTGATGTGCTCTCTGCTTCTGCTATTAGTTTGGAGCTTTTTGAAATTTCACATGCAAGTGAGATCACCCAGTATTGATCTTTCTCCTCAGACTGATTTTACTTAGCATATTGCCCTCCCCATAGAATGCCCTCCTGAGTCCATCTGTGTTGTTGCAAATGGCAGTATTTTCTCTTTTATGGCTGAATGATATTCTATTGTATATGTACACCACATTTTCTTTATCCATTCATCCACCAGTGGACACTTACGTTGTTTTCATATCTTGACTATTATAAATAATGTTGCACTGAACATAGGGGTACAAAAATCTCTTCAAGATAGTGATTTTGTTTCCTTCAGATATATACCCAAAAGTGAAATTGTTGGGTCATATGGTAGTTCTAGTTTTAATTTTGTGAGGAACTTTAATACTGTTTTCCATAGTGGCTGTACCAATTCACATTCCCACCAAGAACGTATCAGATCCTTGTCAGCACTTAGTTCTTTTTTGTTGTTTTGTTTATCCTCACCTGCGGACATTTTTCCATTTTTGTTCAGATAGAGTGAGAGAGAAAGAGAGGAAGAGAGAGAGAGAGAAAAAAACATTGATGTGAAAGGGACACATCAAGTGGCTGCCTCCTGCACAACCCCAACCGAGGCTGGGGACAAACCGCAACCGAGGTACATGCCCTTAGCGAGAACCGAACCCGGGTCTCTCTGGACCACAGGCCGATGCTCTAACCACTGAGCCAAACTGGCCAGGGCAGCACTTAGTTTTGTCTTCTTGATAATAATCATTTGAATGAGAGTGAGATAATACCTCATTATGGTTTTGATTTACATGTCCCTGTTGATTAGTGATATTGAACACCTTTGCATGTACTTAGCAATTTGAATATATTTCTTGGAAAAAATGTCTGTTCAGGCAAGTCCTTTGCCCATTTTAAAAATTGGATTATTGGGTTTTGTTTGTTTGTTTTTGCTATTGAGGTATATGAGTTTTTTATATATATTTTGTGATTGACTTCATATCAGATACGGGGTTTTCAAATATTTTCTCCCATTCTGTACGTTGTCTTTTATTTTGTTGAATTTTTTTTTCTCTACAGAAGCTTTTAGTTTGTTGTAGTCCCACTTGTTTTTTTGCTTTTGTTGCTTGTGCTTTGTGTATTATATCCATAAAACCATTGCCAAGGTCCCCTGTTTTTTTCCTATGGTTTCAGGTCTTACCTTTAAGTTTTTAGTGTTTTTTGTTCTTTTATTTTTAGTTAGTTTTTGTAAATGGTGTCCAGTTTTATTATTATTATTATTTGTATATGAATATCTGGTTTTCCCCAGCACCATTTATTGAAGAGACTATCTTTTATCCATTGAGTATTTTGGCTCCTTGTCAAATATTAGTTGACTTTATCCACATGAATTTATTTCTGGGCTCTCTATTGTTTCATTAGTCTGTGTGTCTGTTTTTATGGCAGTACCATACTGTTTTGATTGCTATTGCTTTGTAATATAGTTTGAAACCAGGAAGTGTAATACCTCCAGCTTTGTTCTTCTTTCTCAAGATTGTTTTGACTATTCAGGTTCTCTTGTGGTTCCATATGAATTTTAGGATTGTTTTTTCTATTTCTGTAAAATAAAAACAAAGCCACTGGAATCTTGATGGGGTTTGCATTAAATCTATAAATGACTTTGGATAATATGAAAATTTTACCAATATTAATTTTTTCAATTATGAGCATGGAGTATCTTCCTATTTATTTGTGTCTTCTTCAGTTTCTTTTATCACTTTCATCTCTCTCTCTCTCTCTCTCTCTCTCTCTCTCTCTTTCTCTCTCTCTCTCTCTCTCGGAGAGACGGATGGAAGGAGGGAAAGAGGGGAACTGGTGTGCGGGCCTGGGGTCTGGTGCTGGGAGGGGGCTGATAGGCTGATAGGTCTATCACTGTCTTAATATTTTCAGTGTACAGATCTTTTACCTCCATGGTTAAATTTATCCCTAGGTATTTTATTGCTTTTGCTATTGGAAATTGGATTGTTTTCTTTCTTTCTTGGATAAGTTGTCAGTATTTAGAAATGCAACTGATTTTTATAGATTGATCTTGAGTTCTGCACCTTTACTGAATTTATTACTTCTAACATTTTTGGTAGAATCTTTAAGATTTTCTATATATGAAATTCTGTCATCTACAAACAGAGACAGTTTTACTTCTTTCCATTTTGGATGCCATTTATCTATTTACTTATTTATTTATTGTCTTGCCTGATTTCTCTGGCTCAGACTTCCAGTAAGTACTATGTTATATAGGAGTGGTGAGAGTGTCACCCTTGCCATGTTCCTAATCTTAGAGGAAAAGCTTTCTGCCTTTCATCATTAAATATAATATTAGCTGTGGGTTTGTCCCATATGGACTTTATTGTGTTGAGGTACTTTCCTTCTATATCAAATTTATTGAGCATTGTTATCATGAATGGATGTTGAATTTTTTCAAATGCCTTTTCTGCATTGGTTGAGATGATCATGTGATTTTTATCTTTCCATTAATATGATGTATATTCTTCACTTGCATATGTTGAACCATTCTTACATCCCAGGATGCATACTATTAAAGAAACTTTTTTTTTTTTTTTTTTATTGCTTGTGGGAAAATGAAAAGTAACCTGTCAGCCTCTATTTAAATGTAAAATGTACATACACTTTGCCAAGTAGTTGTACTGTATTGGGGAATTTATCCAACAGAAATGAAAGCATCAGTGTATAGAGTTGGATGTACAGGGATATTTACTGACACCTTGTGTTTAAGGTAAAAGGAACAGGCCCTGGCCAGTTTGGCTCAGCGGTTAGAGTGTCGGCCTGCGGTCCGGAGAGACCCGGGTTCGGTTCCCGCTAAGGGCACGTACTTCGGTTGCAGTTTGTCCCCGGCCCTAGTTGGTCGTGCGGGTGGCAGCCACTCGATGTGTCCCTTCACGTCGATGTTTCTCTCTCTCTCACCCTTCCTCTCTCTCCCTCCCACTCTATCTGTACAAAAAATGGAAAAATGTCCTCGGGTGAGGATAAAAAAAAAAAAAAAAAAAGGTAAAAGGAACAGGAAGCCACCTCTGTTTTCATCAGCTTGAAAATTGTCAAATAACTTATGGTACTTCGATCTGATGGAATATATATATATTTTTTAATCCTCACCCGAGGATATTTTCCCATTTCTCTTTAGATAGAGTTGGAGAGAGAAAGAAACATCAATGTGAGAGAGACACATTGATCGGTTGCCTCCCGCACGACCTCCACCAGGGCTGGGGATGAACCACAGCTGAGCTGTGTGCCCTTGACCAGACTCGAACCTGAGACTCCCCAGTCCGTGGGCCTTCGCTCTAACTGCTGAGCCAAACGGCCAGGGCCGATCCTATGGAATATTAATAGAGTTTTAAAACAATTGTTACATCTATTTTCTTGATTTGAAGGGTTATCCACTATATATTATTAAATTTCTAAACATTTTTAGAGGATGCTTACTGTATAATCCATCTAAAAAACTAAAATAGTGTATATAGTGGCTAGAATAATATGGCTAAATTGAACACTGTCTTTTTAAAAATTGATTTTTTAGACAAACTTTTTGAACAATGTGTACATTTGAAACAAAGAGTGTTTATTATGTTTCTTTCTGTTTCAGAACGCTTTACCGTGTACAGCTCTAAACACCTTAGACAAGCGTGGAATAAGTAAGTCTTTGTACAGATTATGCTCATTCTCTCTCTCTCTTAATTTTTAAAACTCTCCTGACAGTTGTTGTGACATTTTTTTCATCTGTTCATCCAGTTGTTCATTCATACATTGATTTCACCATTAACTAGTTACTGGCCCTCACTGTGTGCCAACCACCACATTCAGCCCGCACCGGTGCTGTTGTATGGGCGAGCTTGTGTTCCAGCGTGGCGTGGCTGCAGAGTTGTAAATCCTAAGTCATTTGGTCAATCTCCTTGTAACTAGATTCCAAGAAACATTTTCACGTCCGTAAGGTAGCATTTATTAAGCACAATATAATGACTGACTTTAAAATCTAAATAAAGCCGGTGACAACTTTTGAGCTAGATAAAATTGATCTTTCGAATTTTTTCGCTTCACCTATTTTCCCCCTAAGCTTTCTTGAGAAAGTAAGTACATACCTGACCTCGTTAAAATGGTTTTATTTATTGGTGTCGAGATTTGATGAAATCTGTGGACCTAGGCTTCTCGAGTTACTCAGAGGTCTTTTGTTGCAAGCCAGCCTGTGAGTAAATCATTGAAAGTTGAAAGCAGAGTAATTGAGTCAGGCCTTTCCTTGTGGGTATCGCATTTCAAGCATGATGCTGGGAAAAGGTAACTAGAACTGCTTTGATAAAATATACTATAATTTCTAATAAGAAAATTTTGTCTCTGGGGAATTTAGTGTTATTGTCTCACTTTTTACTGTTATGACATTTTCATTATAGATGTCAGAAGTTATGAAGAAAAGTAAGAAAATCTTTCTAAATAAAAATGTCTTTAATCAATACTGTCAGTAGATACAGTAGACAGCTTATTGTGAGAACCTCATGGAATGAATACATTAAATTCTGCAGTGGGGCCCTGGCCAGATTGGCTCAGTGGTTAGAGCGTCGGCCTGCGAACCAGAGAGTCCCAGGTTCGATTCTGGCCAAGGGCATGTACCTCAGTTGCGGTTCATCCCCGGCCTTGATTGGGGTCGTGCAGGAGTCAGCGCGTTGATGTGTCTCTCTCACAATGATGTTTCTCTCTCTCTATCTTTCTCTCTCCCCACCCCCCGTCTCTCTTTCTTCCTCCCTCCCTCTTGCTCTATCTGAAGATAAATGGAAAAATATCCTCGAGTGAGGATTAAAACAAAAATTTTTTTAAATAATTCTGCAGTGGTTTATTGGAAAGATTTGGCTATTTATTTTGATTAAATTCATACTGAGAAGAACACTCTAGTATAATTACTTTTGTCTAACACAAGGCCTTGCATTTGCCATTTGAAGAGCCGGTTCTTAATATCTGGAGTCTCCCTAATATCTGGGGAGGTGCGCCCTCTGCTGGGAGCATTCTGTGTGTTCCTCACCCTTTTAGTGACCGCTCCCCCCCATCCCCACCACTTTACTGATCAGTGGTCTAACATATTTTAATTAAGGGCTTTCATACACCAAGTAATATATACAGTATACAGTCCCTACCTTAATGAAATGATCAAACACATTCCTTTCTTGTAGTTCCACCAGGTAACCACCTTATGAAACAATTCTTGACAAGGCAGTTGAATCTCTGACCCTGTCTTTGAAGTAACAGGAAATTCTGACACAGCTACACATAATAGCATCTGTGGAGAATAGCCTCCCATTTAGATAACTCCTTGTCCTTCTTTCAGATGGACAAAGCTGGAAATGGCTGTCAAATGGCCCAGGAAAATACATGACAATTCTTATCTACTTAGAATAGTCTGCAGCAGATGGGAGGAGGTCTGTGGATGATGCTGTGATATTTCTTCCGCTGTCCTCTTGGGGATAGGACCCCTCACCATATACATGTGGCCCAGTCCAGTCATCCCTTGTTACACCTTGTCGTCAGCACCTGCCATCATGGGCCACTAACAAGGCCCACGAAGGGCCTTGTTCAGTCATTCCATAGTGACCAGTGGGCTGCCTCTCAGAGAAAACACTTTTGTCTGTTTGCATTATTCTGTCCCAGGAAAAACCATGTTATTTCATGTGTGCCGAAAAGAGAAAGAAAACTGAAGTAGTATTCAAGTTTTGCCTTGTTTCGCTTCAGTCTGACCACCTCCGACCTGATGCTTTTCTTCCTCTGACAGGTGTCGCTTATGTCATGACAAAAGTAGTTAATTTCTTTGACAAAAACCAATGTGCAGTCTGGTAGTGCTGCTTTAGAAATTTTAAAAACTATGTGCATCGTGCTCAATCTTTACATTTTTCTTAAAAGATATAAGATACCAGTAAATATGCTTTTAATTTTGAGGGCAAATAAGAATTCTTAGGAATATAATTTTCTACAAAATAAGAACACAGTGTCTTTTTAAGAGATTACTTTAGAGATATTTATCACAGCATTTTCCATGAACATAAGAGTTCTAATTTTTCTACCCAAAACAAGGTCTAAAATGCTGAAGGCAGTACTACGTTTTCATGTAAAGTGTTTTTAATCAGTTGATAGAATTGTAGTTAATGATTTTCTTTTCATCTCTACCATCACACATGCTTTCTTTAAAATTTAGAATTAATTCCAAGTTATTTAATAAACCAAGTCCCAACCTTAGATTACTTTGAAAACATTTTAGGTAAAATATTAAAAGCTGAGCTTGTGGTAAAAATTTAGAATGATAAACATAACTCATTTAGAACCATGCTAATTTTAAGTCCCTGTAAGTCTAATTTTTTTTTGTATTGCCTTAAGGATTTATTTCAGAAAACACTAAGTAATAAAATCATCACTAAAGATGTAAAAATATTACTTTCTGGTATCCCAGTGTTACACATTGAACCCCGAGAGCCGAGAGAGAGCCTCCAGCCCATTCAAACCCCATGCAATTTGGAGAGAACTGTGAATTCAGAGACATTAATTATATGACTGATTCTCCCTCCAAAGGAACTGCGACCCTGCAACCATCAGTGACATTTCAACATTGCCCACTTCAGAGTGAGGTCTAGATTCAAACAACTGCATTTAAACCCAATTGAGCCAGTGCTGACTCCGTCATTGCTGCTAACTAATTTGCTTGTCCACAGCACAATTACGAAACAGAAGCAATTGGTAAATTCTCTTGCAGAGCAGTAATAGGTTCAAAATAGAGTGAACTCATTTGCAGGAACTAATTTGAATTCAATTTAGATGGGTTAATAAAAGATGGGTAGGTTAACATAAAGAAGTAAGTCACTGTTCAAAATTAAGTAACAATGTCTTTAAAAAGATACATTAACTCAGCTATTAAAGCTAGTGGATACGTTAACCTGCCTGAGAGAGTGAGAATTTCTCAAGAAATGAATCCTCAAGTCTCTTTGAAGGGCTGTAACATGTGACCCAGATTATTTGGGGCCAAGTCTGCCCTAGGTGACACCATGCAACTCCCTGCTGACTTCATTTACACCAGTAACCATGGGCATAATTTTATCCTTTGAAGGATTTTTTTTTTTAGTATTCTGGGCAAACAAAGCACTGATGGGAGAAAAATATCAAAAGATCTATCAGCTGTCTAAAGTCAAAAGGATAATATAAAGAAGAAATCTTAATTATAGGATTGGGAATAGTAAATATATATATTAATAAAGAAAAGAAAGTTGTTTTATTCCCTTACACTGGAAGTGCGTGATCTGGGTGGGCTCTTTCTGCTCAAAGGGGATTTTGGACCGAAAGGACACAAATCTAATTATATAAATGCATGTACTGTTTTCTGACGGCCTTCAAAACATTCCGTTTTATTTCACTGGAGTTATAAAGACTCTCCCTATTTTTCTTTCAAATCTCTCTATTTATAGTTGTCTGACATTGGCATGTATGTGCAATCAACCAAGAATTTCAGCCACTTAACAGATCCTTTATTATTTTGGCTGTAGGGGAAGCCTTAGTATATGTTCTCAGTAAAGTTAAGGGTAGGATTCCAGGAACACATTTGCTTGTTTTGGAACTTTTTAACAGCTGAACAATTTTGGGACGTTTGAAAGTAGCAAAAAGAGAGGTAAGGATAAAGAACCAAAGTCACAGAAGACAAGACTTGAAAACACAGCTTGCAGGTGATAGGGGAGAGCCGTCCACACACTCGAGTAGGTGTCGGCCAGCCCTGTCCTGCTCGCTCCTCCCATGCACTCTGGTTCTCCTTAGAATCCTCCTGTTAGTTAAGCCCAACTGGAATTCTCCTAAGAATTAAAAAAAACTGATACTTTAGCCCGGCCACTGTGGTTCAGTGGTTGAGCATTGACTCATGCACCAAGAGGTCACCAGTTCAATTCCTGGGCAGGGTACGTGCTCAGGTTGTGGGCCAATCCCCAGTAGGGAGCATGCAGGAGGCGGCCAGTGGATGTTCTCTCTCATCGATGTTTCTATCTCTCTCCCCCTCCCCCTTCCTCTCTCTCTAACATCAATAAAGAAAAAAATATTTTTAAAAATTCATACTTTAAAATGTGTAATAATCATAGACACATTGCACTGAAGCTACCTTTATAAAGATGCAAAATTTGAGAAGAAAACATTTACATTTGAGTGTATCAGCAGAGTCACAAGCCCTAACATTGTGTTCTCAAACTCTTATTTGCTGATTAACTTCCAGTACATATTTGAAAGATGACTTGCCAAAGAGTCGTCACATGTGCATAAACGAAATGTATTTAACACAGTATTTGGAGGAATAACAAATTTCACTGTGTATATTTATGTGGATGGTTCACTACTATATTTTTCTTATGGTCCTATTTAATTGTTTATCATTATGATTTAAATCAATGCCTTCTGAAGAAACCGAAAGGCCCTGTTTTCTACTCTACCTTATTCTACATTGATCTGAAGTTTTCCAAGTTAATAATCTATTGCAAAGTAAGACAGAGCTTTCAATTTGTTGACCAGTTGTTTAGAAATGTCAGAGGAAGGTAACAACAGTTATTGACACTAGGAGGAGCCGTTGAGTTGAGCCTACTCTTTAAGTGATCTTTCTCCACTTGCACATTTTTTTATTGTTGATCTTTTTTTT